TCTCTGCCCCGCAGGTAAGTCAGCGGCGCGGTCTGGCCCACAGAGAGGACTTCGAGGCCAGCGCGGGAGAACAAGGCAGCCCCTTGCACCTGTCCCGTGCCCTCCTCCCGAAACCGGGGGACCCCCAGGGGACAGTGAGGACGTCCCCATCAGCTCTGAGCTCCGATGCCGGGCATCTAGCGCGTGGGACTAAACTCCAGGGAAGTTTAGAGGGTCCTGGCTGGTTATCCCCGATGCCGGGCCGCCTCCGGTGGGTGGGAAAGGGCAGAGGTGGGCACCGGGCACACCGGAGGAGCAGGTTGGGGCCGGTGACCGCGGGGTCCGCGTGAGTAACCCCTTTGACTAGCACGCCCCAAGCCGCAGCCGAGCGCGCATCCTGCCTGCGGGCTCCGGCTTGGAGCGCGACGGGGGCACCCAGCCGGCTTCTGTGTGCAAATGAGGTGAGAGCCGAGGCGGCGCGGAGCTGGGGCCGGGTTATCCCACGCGCTCCAGGGCACCCGCGCCACTTACCGTATTTGCACCTGGGTGCAGATACGCGCGGGTGTGTGTCTGGGGGGGCGGGGGCGGTGAGGAAGCAGGGGTTGCCGGGGTTGCCTGGGGAACCTAGAGGCCTGGGGACTGGTCAGATTTTTTTTTTCCACGTCCAAGTCTCAGAGCCAGGTGGGGGAGATGATCACGAAAATGGCCCTTGTTGTAGACATGAGGTGCATTCGCACCCTCCGTGTTGGGATTTGGGCTGTAGGAGAGGGATCCTGCCTCCCAGAACCTCAGGGAAGTCTTCCTGAAAGAGAAGGTCCTGAGCTGACAGCTCAGATGTGATGCTTAGAGCTCGGAGCCACCAAGGACAGTCAGACTGTGGGCCTTGATGCTGGGTTGGGGTAAAGCAGAGGATGCAGGACTGTGCCACAGAGGGAGGTCAGGATACTGCCACGGACCCAGCCAGGATCCCATCGACCTTCTCCATCAGGGGCGGGGAACATCTGGCCCGCTGGCCGGGTAGGGCCTGCGAAATCATTTGGTCTGGCCCTGCCGAGGGACTCGAAATTCAATGAACCTAGGAGCTTTTTTCATAGCTAATTTTTAAGTTGATGATTTTGTATGGCCCATGAATGGTGTTATAAATATCCAAAAGGCCTTTGGCAGAAAAAAGCTTCCCCACCCCTGTTCTCTGTGGTCACAAACCTAGAGGCAGACCAACAGCCAAGCTCAGGCAGGAGGGCTTCCTGTGTCTCACTTCCCTATTCCATTGTCTCCTCCTTCCACACACTACCATTGTCAGAAAGTTCTTTCTCATATCTAACCTTCATCCCTCCTGCTTCTGTGCCAGCTTCTTGCTTCTGGGAGGCAATGTGCTGTAGTGGAAACAGCGGGGGCTTTGGGGTCAGTTAGACTCGAGTTCTATCACCTCTACCTACTGAGTGACCTTGGGCAGGTTGCTTAACCTCTTTAAGCTCGCTTCCCCACCTGTAAAATGGGGATGATAATAATAGAACCCGCCTCATAGGGTGGCTGCAAGGATTAGGTGAGAATATGCCCGTAGAGCGCTTAGCACAGTGCCTGGCGCCTGGTGAGGGCTCAACAAGTATAAATGTCCCCTCATTTGTAGGACAGCAAAGCCCATCTGCAGGGGGTGGGGGTGGGGGTTGAAAGTTTTTTTTAAAACTTGGCCAGAGAGAGCAATGCCCTTCACCACCACCATTCCATCAGCCCCCACCCCCTGCTGGCCCCTGGATTTCTGCTGGACCTGTCTGGACCTGTGAGGTGCCCAGGGCCCCTCATCTCATCTCTTAGTTGCCCTGTTTTTGTCTCCAGAGTGAGAGAGGGACCCCAGCAGGCAGGGACCAGTGGCAGCAGGAGCCCACTTGGGACTATGCCTCAGGGGAACACACTGGCTTAGACACCCAACTGAAAAAATGCCCCCTTGTCATCACCTCCCTGCCCTCCCTACCTCCAGAAATCCACAAGTTGGGATCATGCTACACTTTTTCCAGGAAGATAAATAATATAAGTTACTGAAAGTCCTGCTTGGGGCTCGTCCAAGCAGCCCTCCAATGGAATGACAGCTTCAGTCCTTGGCCCGAGGTCTGGAGACTGCTGGGAAAGGCTGGGTCTAGTAAGCACCGTTAAACCTAGGAAGGGAGGGGTGTCCGTGCCCTAACTGGGCACTTCTCTGGCCACCACCCTCCCTGTGGGGTGAGGAATCAGCAGGGCCAAGGAGAAGAACCTGTTCATCCCCCTTCAATACCA